GCGTCCAGGTGAGCCCCCCCGGCCGCCCGGGGGGACCCTTTGGGGGGACCCCTTGGGGGGACCCTTTGGGGGGCCCCTCCCCCCTCGGGGGGACCCTTTGGGGGGCCCCTCCCCCCTTGGGGGGCTCCTTGGGGGCAGCCCCGTTGGGCTCAGCTCTCCCTGGGGGTCTCCCCATTGGAGGCCGCTCTTGGGTCCCTCTCCCCATTGGAGGATCCCCTTGGCTCCATCTCCCTATGGAATGTCCCCACTGGAGGTCCCCCCTTGAGTCCACCTCCCCATTGGAGCTCCCCATTGGGTCCATCTCCCTATGGAATGTCCCCATGGGAGCTCCCCCTTGGGTCCCTCTCCCCATTGGAGCCCCCCATTGGGTCCATCTCCCCACGGGAGTTCCCCATTGGGTCCATCTCCCTATGGAATGTCCCCATTGGAGGTTCCCCCGTTGGGTCCCTCTCCCCATTGGAGGATCCCATTGGGTCCATCTCCCCATTGGAGCTCCCCATTGGGTCCATCTCCCTATAGAATGTCCCCATGGGAGCTCCCCATTGGGTCCCTCTCCCCATTGGAGGATCCCCGTTGGGTCCCTCTCCCCATTGGAGCTCCCCATTGGGTCCATCTCTCCATGGGAGCCCCCTTTGGGTCCCTCTCCCCATTGGAGGTCCCCCTTGGCTCCATCTCCCTATGGAATGTCCCCATTGGAGGTCCCCCATTGGGTTCATCTCCCCATTGGAGGATCCCCTTGAGTCCACCTCCCCATGGGAGCTCCCCGTTGGGTCCCTCTCCCCACGGGAGCTCCCCATTGGGTCCCTCTCCCCATTGGAGCTCCCCATTGGGTCCACCTCCCCATTGGAGCTCCCCATTGGGTCCCTCTCCCCATTGGAGGATCCCCGTTGGGTCCATCTCCCCATTGGAGGATCCCCTTGAGTCCCTCTCCCCACGGGATCTCCCCATTGGGTCCATCTCCCCATTGGGTCCCTCTCCCCATTGGAGGTCCCCATTGGAGGTCCCCCACTGGGTCCATCTCCCCATTGGAGCTCTCCATTGGGTCCCTCTCCCCATTGGAGGATCCCGTTGGGTCCCTCTCCCCACGGGAGCTCCCCATTGGGTCCCTCTCCCCATTGGAGGATCCCGTTGGGTCCCTCTCCCCATTGGGTCCCTCTCCCCATTGCAGGATCCCCTTGAGTCCCTCTCCCCACGGGAGCTCCCCACTGGGTCCCTCTCCCCATTGGAGGATCCCGTTGGGTCCATCTCCCCATTGGGTCCATCTCCCTATAG